CACTTTAATTTTCACGTGCATGGTAAAATTTTATTCACGATATAGGTCCATTTAATGTGTAATTTGGAAGCAGAACTATCATGACTTTAGGCGTGGGGACATAGTACAAGAATTAAAGAATCACTTTGAAATGCATCGATAACATCATATGAACGTCTACAAGCAAGGTGGCATCGAATACGCATTTACAAAAGAAAGTACATTCGAGGGTGTTTCTGCCAGTGCGGACATTCCTTGTAGGTACCAACATTTTCTGTCCACAAATGCCATCGAAATCGTCGTCTGCGGACAAAACGGTTTCCGAGAGCAGACTGTGTAAATAGAATTTTTGAAGGTCCGTATTTTTTGACGGTCATTTTGACCACGATGCGCACAGACCTATTTTTCTGAATGGCCAAGAAGACTGGTCAGTCAGCGGAAGCCAACCGTCAGAGATAAACCTGGGGAAGGAACAAGCGACAGGGGTATGGGTAAATCAAACATCGAAGTTGAATTCGTGACCCATCTAGAAGGTATGGGCAGCCACTTGTGATAATCTGCCTCCCTCCGTCGGTGATTGCTCTCATGAAATGTTAACTGAAACTTGGGACATAATCCCGTGATATTTCAGGTATGTCAATGCGTTGGCTCTTGAGTACGCTCCTTATCGGTCAAATACGAAAAACTGCACTCAGCAAAAAATGACTGCTTACGTAGCATGCACTTTCTCTATCGGTTTTCGATGCCCTTATAAGTTTAAGAATATTCTGCAGAAACCCTGTCAAAAATATTATTTCTTATACTTATTTGATAGGAAATTACGTTTTCTTTAGCTGTTGTACTCGAAGAAAGAGTAACTTTCGGTTATGAAGAGGATTCTAATTATGGGATTTTTTATGACCGTGCAGTGCCTATTCGAATAGTATCGTAACCTGTCCTTTTAACGATGCTCCTCATTAAGTAGACGTTATGGTTCACATTCGTTAAAACATTTTATGAATCTCAAATCGTATCAATTCGATTGCACAGAGTAATGCATGTTTTTCCTGACACTGAAAGTAAACAGCTCGAAGACTTGAAACCTTAACGACATATTCAGTCCATAATTAGTCGGGTATTGAAAAAACTCTTAAAAGCAATATGTACACGCTCTTCAAATATAATATTTGAAGAAGACATGAGTTGTTGCCAAATGAGTGCAAGAAATAGTAAGTTTATAAAGGTTTTCTATAGAACTTATATGCATTTACAAGGACATTAAACAGTTCCGGAGAAAACGCATA